TTCCCGAGGGGGAGGGTGGGGTTCACTTTGCTCGGGAGCTCCCGAGCGAAGTGAACCCCACCGCCCCCCTCAGAAATCGTGGGAGGGTAGGGGTAGGGTTCGCATGTGTGGCCCCCTATCGCAGGGACGCAGGGGCCTCCCTGTGGCAGCGGAGCTCGTGTTTTCGTTCCCGCGTTCCCCCGGCGCGTCCACTCGGGGTCACCCGCGGGGGGGGGGGCCGAGGACGACCGCTCCTCGCGGCCCAGGCCAGAGAGCCGTCCTTTTCCAGACGGCGGCGCGAGAGCGGGAAGCTGGCGCGTGTCGCGCCCCTGCAGGAGGAGGTGGAGGGGCAGTTGGAGGAGGGGGAGGAGGGTTGGAGGAGGAAGCGGTGCCCATAGCTCTACTCTTCTCTCGTCTTCCCCCTCTTGGGCCTCCTGGGAGGCCCTCGTCGCCACCGCTGGATTCGCCGCGGAGTCCTGGTCAGGACGCACCTCAGGAGAGGTCCATGGACTAGCGGTATCGGTAACTTTTTGTTAGTATCCCCAGGTGTAGGTGGAGAAGGAAGAAGAAGGGCGGGGAAGAGGACGAAGGGGGATCATCATCGGGAGCATGATCTGGAGCAGAGCAGGGCCGAAAGTTGCGACAGGAGGAGGAGGGGACCGGGAGAGGCGAGGGACGACGATGCGAAGTTCCCTCCTCGTCGTCGATCCGTTGGCCATGCGGCCATGCGGATTGAAGCCTCCATTGTTTTGATGATTCAGTTTTTCGGATCCGAGTCGCGCTTACCTCCCCTCCCGCCTCCCCCCCCGCCAGTCAGGGGTGTCCCTCTCCTCCCCCCCCCGCCTCCCCCCCCCCCATCCCCTCCCCCCTCGCCACTCGCTCCGACCCCCACACCCTCCCCGCTCTCTGCCTCTGTCTGTTTCCCTTCCGTCTCCCCCCCCCCCCCCCACCCCCCCCCCCCCCCCCCCCCCCCCCCTCCCCCCCCCCCCCCCACTCTCCTCCCCCTCCCCCCCCACCCCCCCCCCCCCCCCCCCCCCCCCCCCCTCCCCCCCCCCCCCCCCCCCCCCCCCCCCTCCCCCCCCCCCCCCCACCCCCTCCATCCCCTCTCTCCCCCCCTCCCCCTCACTCCCCCTTCTCCCCCTCCCCCCCGCCCCTCCTCAACTTCTTCTCCCCCTCCCCCCCTCTTCCTGCCCCCTTCTCCTCCTCATGGCCGAACCCCTGCGCACTACATCCCCTCGACCTTCCTGCCATCTCCCGCGCGCCCTCCGCGCGGCGGCGAGCTCCGCGGCAGGCGCGGCCGCGGCGGCCGCGCCTGCCGCGCGCGGTGGGCGCGGCAGGTGCACACGGTCGAGGGCTGCCTTCCCATGGAGCGGCCACGATTCATGCCCACATTCGTCGGAGAGGAGGAGGAGGTATATCCATACCTCTGCCCTTGCCCCGTCTTCCCCTTGTTGGGCCTCCTGGGAGGCGCCTCGTCGCCACCGCTGGATTCGCCTCGGAGTGCTGGTCAGGACGAACCCTCGGAGAGGTCCGGGGAGCAGCGGCATCGGTACCTTTCGGTTTCTACAGATTCACTGCGTCTTGGGCTTTCTGGGAAGGGCCGCCTACAGGACGCGGCGCAGTGGAGATGGAAACAAGTCTGACCTCTATGGGCGAAGTTGTTCAATCCATAATCCACGGCGCCTATCGGAGGAAGGGAGCCCGAAACTCCGAGAGGCAGTGGATGTGGATAAAAGTCTTGCCCGCACCATGGGCGGACCGCGCCCACCCACCCCAGTCTCATGGGGGTCTCTGGCTCGTTCCGATACGATGTCAATGGTTGCCGATTCCGATTCGGTTCGACTTCGGATTCCGATCTGGGCTCCGATCTCTCAGTGGAAGCCTACCAGCCTGCCGATTTCCGCCGATTCGACTTTTCCCGACTCGGCTGCCGATCTCCGCCGATCCGATCAATTTCGATCGCTGATCCGGCTCATCGATTCAGTGGTGGGCTCTCCTGGTGGTTCTGGACGTTTCCGCAGGCCCAGGGAGGACCAGCGGGCGCACAGGGCAAGCTCTGGCAGCGGGTCCAGCATAGAGTCGACCCGCACAGAAAGGATGGGCAACCTTCCCAACGGGTACCCTCGCATCCCTGCCTCCTCGGTCCAGCCTTGGCCACTCTCGTGGCCGCGCCCCGCTCGAAAAGCTTCGACAGGCGTGTCCAAGGCCCTTGCATCCTCATCGCGCACCCTTCTGATACGGGCCGACTGTAGGGTCGGAGCATCGCGAGGCATCGCCGATGCATCGGCGATGCGGCTCGATGTGGAGCCCGATTTTCTCCACGCCGACTTCGCCGATGCATCGCTGACGTCGCCTGCGCCTCCTCCTCTTTCTCCTCCTCCTCTTTCTCCTCCTCCTCCTCCTCCTCCTCCTCCTCCTCCTCCTCCTCCTCCTCCTAGTGCATCGCCGATGCATCGGTGATGCATCGACTGCGCTACGGGCCGACTGTACTGGCGCCCTTGCTGCAGGACAGCCCCAAACACAGCCTCACACCGTTCCCGACGGGGGGGCCACGCCAGGGGGCCTGGGGCCCAGGAGAAGTGGCGCGCTGGGGGGCCACAGTGGCCCCCCAGCTACCCCACCAGGCGTGAGAGAAGCATGTCCTGGAACCCTTACGAACAAGCTGTGCAGGGGAGGAGGAGGAGGAGGAGGAGGAGGCGGAGGACGAGGACGAGGACGAGGACCTGTGCAAGCCCAAGACTCATCGACGATGTTGGAATAAGCCGTCCCTCCCATCTTCACAGGCCCCTGTAAGGACACATTTCCTGTGAGGGACGGTCCACGGTTGGGAGACAACCGTTTGAAGATCCTGAAGCGTGCCATAATAATATTATCGGGACTCCAACGCCACGAATCAACTTGCCTGTTGCGTCTTGACAATCCTGAATCGCGCCAGAACGCCGTTCCTGGGACTCCACCGCGAGTCAGCGTAACTGTTGCGCACTGGCAGCTCTGAATCATTCTGACACCATTTCTGTTACGATGGCCATGAAACTTTGCAGACCTTGAAGACGAATGTGCCCGGCGCGAACGCGAGAACCACATTTTGAAAAGTAACCGCCCTCAATCCGTGAAGCTCTTGCGCATTTTCTGAGACGAATGTGCGCGGTACAATAGCGATAGCCACATTTAGAACCCGAGTTGCCCTCAATCCGTGAATCTCTTGTGCACTCTTGAGAAGATGTGCGCGGCGCTGAGGCGAGAGTCACATTTTGGAAGCGACCCGCTCTCAAGCCGTGAATATTTTGCAAATGTTTAAAGCGACTTTGCGCGAAGCTGAGGCGAGAGCCGCATTTTGGAAGCGGCCCGCCCTGCGTACGTGAAACTCTTGTATTGTTTCAAGCTTCAGGGCCATACAAAGGTACGGGAGTCTCTTGGGAAATGCCTGTGACGCCCTTCCGATTGGTGTCGTGGTGCGACAGGGAGGAGAGGAGTTATTTGCAAGGAGCAGGAGCAGGAGCAGGAGGAGGAGGAGGTGGAGGAGTTGGAGAGGGAGGAGGGGCAGGTTCATGCATGGCTCCACTCTTTTCCAGCTGTTCAGCGGCAAACTACAAGTTCCGCCACCGTTGCAGCGCAGCGCTCTGTGAAGACAGCCCAGACGGCTGTGCTGTACAGTCGGGGCCCTGAAGAAGGAACCCTTTTGGTTGGGGAGGGGCTCCGCGTTCCTCAAGTGTTTCACAGCTTGCCTCAGGTTTTCCTTATGTTTTCGATAGGAAATCGATGTTTAACTTATGGAAAAGGGGGCCTCGTTCCTTATTTAGGGTTACTTAGGTCAACGCCCCGACTGTAGGATGATGACTGAATTATGATCAGGAGGAGGATGGCATGGCGGAGGAGGAGCAGGACGAGGAAGGTCACGAACGTACCATGCGACACTCTCAAGAGGCCCTAGAGAGGCACCCAAGAGACTCATATTCATCCGGGAGGCTCCTGATCCAAGGTGTAACGTCCAGGATCGTCTCAATCACTCTCTCCTTGTGGAGGTCGGCGGTATGGTGTACGCCTCTTGAAAGGTATGGTCACGCCCTCATCTGTGTAACTGCTTCTCAATGCTACACTGCTTCTCAACGTTACACTGCGTTTTCCAGCGACCGCCCCATGTTGAACAATCACCGCCCTCCACCTGCCGCGCTATTACGTGCGAATGAGTGTCGGGCTTCTCTCAGAAATTCGCAAGCGAACGCCATGTGTTGAGAAGACGCAATTCCCCATCCGTGTGAATAGATGTTGCAAGCTGTTCGGACGGATGTGTGCGGCGCTAAGGCGACAACCCAATTTTGAAAACGAGCCGCCCTCCATTCTTGCAGGTCTTGCCACCTGTTAAGACAAATGTGCGCGGCGCTCAGGCGAGAGCCCCATGTTGGAAAGAAACCGTCCTTTATCCTTGACGCTGTTGTGAAGACGAATGAGCGCGGCGTTGTTGCGAGAGCTTCACTTTGATAAGGAGCCGTTCCTCATCCTTCAACTGCTTTCAAGACGGTCAAGTCGAATGTGCGTGGTGTTAAGGCGAGAGCCCCATTTGGATAACCGCTTGGCCTCCACCCATGAAGTTTGTGCAAATGTTTAAGGCGAGTGTGCGCGGCGCTGATGCGAGAACCCTCTGACAATTACCCCCCTCCATCCTTGAAGTTGTCGCACATTTCAAGTTTCAGGGTTAGAAATGGTCACGAGGTCTTAGACGAAACGCCTGGCCCGCCCTACCGTAACGCCTGGGGGTGCGATAGGGAGGAATTATTTCCGAGGAGACGGGATGGATGCGGAACAGAAAGAGAAGCCAAGAAGGGAAGAGACTGAGGAGGAGGAGGACGAGGAGGAGGAGAAGGAGGAGGAGGATGCTGAGGAGGAGGAGGAGGGGAAGCAGGAGGACAAGGAGCAAGGACGAGGAGGAGGAGGAGGAGAAGCAAGGAGGAGGAGGAGGAGCAGGAGGAGGTGCGCACTCTCCCGCTTGCTTTTTCCGTCCCTCCTGGCTCCCTTGCCGTCAGGGCTGCCGCCGACCACGCCGCCGCATGGGGGACTGGAGCGCCGACCTGCAGTCCGTCCGGATCCGATGCTCGCTTGCCCTCCCTCCCCTCGCCCGCTCCCCTCCCCTCCCCTCCCGTCCTGCTTGGCTCCCTGCCTTCCTCCCTCCCGCCTCCTCCCTTTGCTCCTCCCTCCCTCCCGCCCTGCTGCCCTCCTCCCTCCTGGCACGGGGAGCATTGGATGTTGCCCCCCGCTTCGGGGTTTGGGCGTCCCCGGCTATTTCATGCTGCTTGGCACCATTATGTCCGAAGTGTCCACTCCAATTCCTCCCTTCCTCATCTTCTCTCCTCCTTTTCCTTCGCCTTCCCTTCTTTTCGTCCTGACTCTTCCCTCCTCCTGCTCACTCCCCTCCTCGGTCCTCCTCCGCGCCGACCTGCAGTCCGTCTGTATCTAGACCCTTACATATCGTGCTTCCAGTTTGCTGTGTGTGTGCGTATATGAGTCCCGCTGTCTTTCCTCAGTTTCGGGTTTCGGTTTCGTCATCGGGCCCTAAGGCAAGCACCATCGACTTGGCATCGCTCGGACGTGTGTATTTCTTTGTCGAGGACCATCGAGGAGCATGCTCGATCATTTTGCGAAAAAGAAGCGCGCACGAAAGCGAACCATGCACGGTCAAGGAACGTCCGAACGATGGCGAGATGATCGGGGACGAAATGCTGCCCCTGGGGAGGGGGTCTGGTGCTGGGGGGCCGCCCAGTGAAAGGACCACACAGGAGGGTACAGGGGGGTTAGTTCGCATGCGATTTTTCTCCTCACATCCCCGAGTTTCGTCCGACAAGTTTGGCCGCTCAGAAATGGGGGGGGAAACCATGGGACACACCCCAAGGCGGCTATTTTGACGCACCCCTTATCGAGGATAGATGCCCCCCCCATCGTATATCCCAGGGTCGGGTCCCAAGTGTTTGGTCCATTCGAAACACCCACGAAGCCTGGGATAGGGGTCGACATATCCCCTGGTATAATAAATGCCGATTGTCGCTGTTGTTACCGAGCAACACAAGCCACAGCAATGGTCCGCTCTCCTCTGTGCCCTCTGCCTTGCGGCTGGCCTGCTCGGGGCAGGCACTGGGAGGCCCCAGAGAAGGGGTCAGGGCGGACGATGTAGTCATGCCTCGGGTCTCGGTGAGCGAGCCGTGTCCGTTCCATGGGCGAAGAGTCAATGCAAGCAGGTTCTCCCACGGCTGGGCTTCAACGCTGTTTTGCCAGACCTCGGCTGTGTTCTGTTCTTCGTTCCGCGAGGGAGGTACAGGAAAAAAGGTGGCGCAAAACGAAACACAACACGAAAAAAAACGAACAACAACGTTTAGGTCCAGCCCTTGTTTCTCCCTGGAGTGAGCGTCTGAGTGGGCGCGGCTTTGCAGCGGCATTTTCTCATGTATCCCTCGGGCGCGTCGGCCCCGCCCTGCAGTACACGCGCGGTGCAGGACGCAGGCCCTGTCCTGTCCTGTCCTGTCCTGTCCTTCTGGGACGACCGTGGGGGTTGCTACGTGGATGCGGGGGTTCTAAGTGGATGCTGAGGTGGGTTACGTATGGCCTGACCTGACTTATAGGTGGGCCACAATTGCCCCGAGTAGCTTCGGGGGGTGAGCGATCCGAGCTAAGTGGGCTTCGCCCACACTTAGCGTAGTTATCTAACCCCCCTGGACCACTCGAGGAATTTGTAATCCACTGATAAGCCAGGTGTGGTCAGATATATCCCACCTTAGCAGCCACTTGTAACCCCATATCCACTTAGCAACCCCTACGGCGATCCCAGTGTCCTGTCCTGTCCTGACGTCGTTATGCACCAGTTTTCGGAATCCGTCGCAGTGGTCAGCGCCGGGCCCCCGTCCCCACACAGCTGGGCGGCGTCTCTGGCGCCGCCCCGGCGCGCTCCGCGCGCGCCGGGGAAGAGATGCGGGGAAGGGGGGTGTTCAGCGCCGACCCAACCAAGCAGGGCTCGCTTCCTCCGATGCGGTTCGATTCGATTTCGGTGGCCTCCGATTCTGATTCGATTCGACTTCAGATTCCGATTTGGATGCCGATTCCTCAATAGAGGCCTACTGGCCTGCCGGTCTCTGCCGATTCGACTTCTCCCGACTTGGCTGCCGATTTCTGCCGATCCGATTCGTTTCGATCGCTGATCCGACTTGTCGATTCCATTCTGGGCTCTCCTGACAAAGCTGGGAGGAGTTCCGCAAGCTTGTGATCACTATCCCCGAACAGAGCTTGCACTCAGGGCTTCTAATTTCTGCTCCGAGGAGCTAGGCCTGTCTACTGCTCTGGCGGCTATGTTGCTGGCGTCGCCGCCCCGTTGCCGCTTCGTCGCCGCCCGTCGTCTTGGCCTGTCTGCCGGTCCGCTGGCTATTTTGCCGCCTTCGCCGCTCGTTGCTGCCCGTCCTCTGGGCCTGTCTGCCGGGCTGGCGGCTATGTTGCCGCCGTCGCCGCCGCGTCGCCGCCTGTTCGCCGCACAAAGCATCGATTGCACTACACAGATGTATATATATATATATATATACTGTGCGACAAAAAGTGCACCGTATAGATGTACCACACAAGAGTGCACCCGAACGATTGCACAAGCTAGATTTCCCAACACATACATTGCAGAACACATAGAAGGCACAAAACATGGATTCAACACATCTATTCTCCTTTCTGGAAAGAGAATAGACTCTACCCCCCCCGATTTATCAGCTCCCCTTGGGATAGTATAATTTCATGTATATTCTGCACATTCGTCCATCCTAAATATGAAATCATACCATCCCAGGCAGGCCGGTTTCCCCCCCCCTGAGGGTCCCTTGTAAAAAACACTATGCGGTGACACTTGTTGCTCTAACATCGCACTTTTTCGCGAATCCTTTGCAACAAATGAGACGAAGTGCACACGCGCGCGTCGTCGCGCGCGCATGCCGAAATCCTTCAAAAACCTTCGGCGCAGGAGGGATTTCGCAATCGAGTTTCCAAACGACATACAAAACACAGGGTTTCGCAACATTGATTTGCTAAAAAACTTCCGCGCGAGCTCTTGCAAAATCTTAAGAGAACCGTCGGTTTTTCAAGATTTACACAAAATGCTACCAAACGGGCTTCGCGCGCGCGCATGTCGAAATCTGTCGAACGCCCTTGCGCGTGTGCCGTCGCGAGAATCCCCAGCAGAAAACGGGACGAAGTGCAGACGCGCGCGTGGTCGCGCGCGTACGCCGAAATCCTTCAAAACCCATCGGTTTCGGAAGGATTTCGAACTCGCGCGTCCAAGAAACATACAAAACCCAAGGTTTCGCAACACGGATTTTCAACAAAAGCGTGCGCGCGCGCTCTTGCGTCGTCGTCGTCGTCGTCGCCGTCCTCCCTCCTCCCGCGTCGTTGTCGTCGTCGTCGTCGCCTACGTCGTCCTCTGTCTTTCCTCGTGTTCGTCGTCGTCGTCCTCTTTGGCGTCGTGGTCGTTTCCGTCGTCGTTGTCGCCGTGGTCGTCCTTCCTCCTTCTCCCTCGTCGTCGTCGTCGTCCGTCATCGGCGTTTCGTCGTCGTCCCTCCTATTTCGTCGCCGTCGTCGTCGTCGTCGTCGTTGTCGTCGTCGTCTTCCCTCCTCCCTCGTCGTTGCCGTCGTCGGCGTCGCCGTCCTTCCTCCTTCTTCGTCGTTCGCGTCGTCGCCGTCCTCCCTCTTCCCTCGTCGTTGTCGTCGTTGTTGCCGTTGTCGCCGTCGTCGTCCTCCCTCCTCGTCGTCGCGTCTTCGTTTGCGACGTCGTCTTCGTCGTCGTCGTCGGCGTCGTCGTCGTCTTCGTCGTCGTTGTCGGCTCGTCGTCGTCGTCGCCGCCGTCGTCGTCGTCGTCGTCGTCGGCGTCAGTTGACGTCGTCGTCGTCTCGTCGGCGTCGTCGTTGTTCGTCCGTCGGCGTCGTCATCGTCGTCGTCGTTGTCATTCGTCGTCGTCTTCGTCGGCGTCGGCGTCGTCGTCGTCGTCGTCGGTGTCGTCGTCGTCGTCGTCATTGTCGGCGTCGTCGAAGTCGTTGGAGACGTCGCCGGTGTCGTCGTAGTCGTTGTCGGCGGCGTCGTCGTCGTCGTTGTCGCTGTCGTCGTCGGCCTCGCTGTCGTTGGCAAGTGCCCTGTGGTACCCACCGTCACGGTCTTAAGAGATTTTGCGAACCAAGTTGCGGGTGGGTGGGTGGGATGTTTGCGCGAGCAGTGGAGTGGTCAAGCGCGGTGCAGGGTAGTCAATTGCACCACATAGATTCTCCTTTCTGAAAAAACCCGATAGGATGTTCTACCCCCCGTCGGACTTATCGACTCCCCGGGAACCGATGCAAAACACATATGATTCTGACCCACTGTCAATTTTACCTGTGCGTTCATACTATCCTAGCCAGTGTGGTGTCGACACTTCCCAGCATCCTTTGACAAAAGCTGCCATGCGCGTCTTTTATCAAAAACCAAAATTCCCAAAGTCCCTTGCAACAAATGGGACGAAGTGCGCAGGCGCGCGTCGTCGCGCGCGCATGCTGGAATCCTTCAAAAAGTTGATCCCCGAAGGATGCCAAAATCGAGTGTCCAAAAAACAAAAAACACAGGGTTCCGCAACACGGATTTTCAACAAAAGCGTGCGCGCGCGCCCTTGCGAATTCTCAAGTCACCACGAGTTTCCAACAGTTTCATAACATGCTACCAAACGGGTTTCGCGCGCGCATGTCGAAATCGCTCGGACGCCCTTGCGCGTTTGCTGGGGTGGCGCGATCCGTGTCAAGTAATACGAGCCACTCTTACGCGTCTGCCGCGCGCGCATTTCGAATTCTTTTCAAAACCTTCATCACCGACGCGAAGACGCCGTCATCGTCGTCGGCGTGATCGGCATCGCCGTCACTGGCTGCCCCGTCGTCGTTGTCAGCCTTGTCGCCAGCATCGCTACTATCATCATTGTGTCTACCATTATCGACGTTGCCATGGTGCCGCGCCCGCCCAAGTCGCCGACTCGCATTGGAGTGCCCGCTGGGATGCGCCGAGCGGTCAGCGCCACCGCGTTCGCGTCGGTCGCGCGGAACTAGCTGG